GTTTCAGTATTAAAAGAGCATGTATGTCTTTGGTAATGTCCCCTTGTCTGCGGGCTTCCAGTTTAGACTTTGTACATTCATACGGATAAGGAGCTTGTTTCTTATACACATCTAGATGTGTATAAGAGACAGGTGTGTGTGTGTGTGTGTGTGTGTGTGTGTGTGTGTGGTCCAATGGGTGTTGGTGGATGCGTGCATGCACATTCCTGCACAGCCTTGTCGTCCGTATGCTGGGTGGAACATATGAAGTAAACAAGGAGTGGTGAATCTTTACAATGATGTACTAGTAGCTCGATTTTGCGGAACCACACACTATCTGCTATAAATGAATTGTAGAGGTTGCAGGACTGCCGGTGACATGCAGGCTTGGTCCTCTAGCAGCGAATCATGGTTAGTGCAACCGAAAAGGAAGTTACGTCAATCATAGGGGATTACAATCGGAAACCTCCGCTAGTTGCTACAATGCACTCCGATATGCTCTATTAATTTCTTGAAGCTTGGAAGTGAAAATCCACTGCGGGTGGTCCTTCAGCTCGCTACATGTCCTCTAGAGGGAACTTGTTTTTGCTTGCTGGTGAGCATTGATGCCCTCTTTTTCACATCTGTGAGTTCTTTGTGTTTCCCCTCGGCAGGTTTCATGCTTGTTGGGGATTGCAGGATTTGAACCTGCAACCTGCCCAATTATCTGCTGTATTTCAACTTTTTTTTGGAAATTCATAGCCTGTTTGTTTTACTCGCTGAAGTCTTTCCAGAACTTTTTCTTCTGTCACCGACTGTCAGCATTCTGTTCAATACACTGAAATTTGTGTTCCTCGTTTGTTGTGGTTGGTGGGGGTGAGGGTGGAGGGGTTGGCATCTACAGATCTCACTCTTCTGGCAGGTAGTGACTGCAATGACCCCGGAGGAGAGACGGCGGCTGTTGTACTTTGTGACTGCCATAGCCAGACTTCCCAGCGAGGGATTTGCGGGTCTCTCTTCGAGGTTTGTGTTTGTCCCCTTTATTTCCATCGAATTCCATGCGTTTGAATTTAAAAATGCTGGAAATAAAACACGATAGGCATATGATAGGAGAATCACATCTATGTAGTAGTATGTATACATTGTATAGTATGTATACTGATTCTATAGGCCTTTGTAATATGCCACATGGAATGCTTCCACATCTATAGGGCTTTCCAATAGGCACATTTTTGCTTGATGTGCGACATGGAGTGTGCCACATCTATAGGGCTTCCAACAGGTAAGCTCTGCAGGGGCGGATGAGACGAAGGCAAAGACTGCAAGATCTGAGAGAAGCCATCCCTCCCCAGTGGGTGGACTTCTCAGGAAGGATGAAGTAACAACGGGAGAGTGATTGAAAGTGAGGGGACTGCGGAGACTGGAGGTGGTATACAGGATAGAACGGGTGGTGGCGGAAGAGAGACTGGAAGTCACCGGCTGGGGTGGCGAACTCAGGTTATGACGGACTGGGGGCTCCGCTGCAGGAGGTCGGTAGGCAGGAAGGGGGTTTCCCCAAGGTGGTGGACAGGAATCTGTTTGAAACCGTGGCGGTGTGCGAAGGAGGGAGGGAAGGGGAAGGATGCTACCTGTCGTACCGGCTGGCAACAAGGACACGGGACCTCACATGGGATCCAAGGGAGTGGGAGTGGCCGGCCCAAGGGATGCAGACGCGTGCAGTCCCACTCCAGGATCTGACCACGAAGAATATCTACAACTCCCTGTTGGAGCAGGTGGACACTAATGGAGAGCTTAGGGACCGCTGGGCCAAGAGGAGCTGATTTCATGATGTATACCTCAACAGGTGGACGAAGAAGAGGTGGAACGAGTAATGTGCCATCTTGGCAGCCCTGCCAGATCAGAAACAGGCTGGGCTGCTATGGCAAATTTATCACCTGGCGATCCCAACAGGACAATGGCTGGCACTCAGGAGCCAACACGAGGACCAGGAGTGTGCTGCGGCGTGCGGGCAAGTAGAGTCTATCCCCCATCTGTTTGTGCGGTGGGCCGATAGTCAGGGCATTCTGGGAATGGTGGGCACACGACGTGGCCGGCGGATCACCGCTGGTCCGCTGGATGTGATGGACGACGCTGCCATCCTCTTGGGGGCCCTGATGAAGGTGGATAGGTCCAGAAAGGAAGACATGCTGGCTGCAGAAATAATACGAGCAGCGGCACTATGGACCCTGTGGACTCTGCAAAATGAACGATGCAGGCAGGGAACAGCCCCACCGCTCCAAGTGTATCAGGAGAGGGCGTTGGAGAATATCGGGACCGTCCTTATGGCCGACCTCCGGAGGAGCAGCCGCATGGAAGGCCACGGGAAGCAAGCGTTCTGGGAAAGATGGAGCCCGTACCCGCAACTGCTCAACCGCGACCCCCAGACAGGCCGAATGCGGTTTGGCCCGATCTTAATGCGCCGTGTACCTATACCCCAAGATCAAGCATCGGTAGATAGGATTAAGGTTTAGGGGTAGGAAGGCAGGTGTAAAGCCAAGAAAAACCTGATGGTAGGAGAGGTAGGATATCAAGGACAGAAGCAAGCCCCCCTTGGATAGGCGGCTCAAGCCACAAGGGTAGACTGACTATCTTTTCTGTCTGATCCCTTTTGCTGCTTGTTTCAAAAAACTCCGATTGCCGGTGATAAGCAACCGGACTGATGCCCCCCAGAATAGGAGGGGCTGGGAGTTTTTTTGGGGGAAAAAAAAGGGGGATTGAGGCTGCTCACTTGGGTGTTTCAAACTGTTTCTTCAACTTTGTTGTTCTTTATTATTTTCTTTTTCTGTTTTGATGCATGTGTGTGTGTGTGTGTGTTCTGGGTGATTTTGTTCCGTAAAATTTTCAAGTGTTTTCTCCGTCAATGGATGGTGCATTTTATGGAACAGGTTTTGGGGATTTTTTCCTCAAATTTTGGATGATTTCTTGATTTATGCGTCATCCTTGCGAAGGGGCCTTGCTAATCTTCTCTGTATCGTTCCTATTTTAACAGATGTCCCGAAGGACAGGTTTTGTGGATATCTATGAATTTGGTTGACGAACAATGAGAATTGCGGGCGTCGGTTAACCCTTTTCTCATTCATCATGTGGGTTGATTGCTTGTGTTCCATGTTCTTCCACCTGTCACAGGTTTCACATCCACCGGGCATACACGGACGGGAATCATCTTCCGACAGCTCACACATGTTTTCAGCAGCTACTGCTCCCTATGTATCAGTCGTTCCGGGTAATGCATGATCGACTGCATGCAGTCATCGCGGACCATGCTGTGCAAGGCTTCGGCTTCATTTGACACGATAAAAGCCCATCGTTACCTGACAACCGACAAGAAGATCATTGCACTTTCTTTTTCAGAAGTCCTGTCTGTTTGTGCAGTGGGCTTGCTCTTGGCACCAGACATCGTTACCTGATGATGGACGGAAAAGAAAGCCATAGCGTTTTCCTGTGGTGAACAGTTGGCGTGCTATTCACAGGAGACACTGCTACTGGCGATGGGCATTGCGCTTTCCTTCTGAAAGCCATGCCTGTGTGAACGGCAGGCTCACTCTTTGCGATCACCTGGAGGTGTCATCAGAATGTCGTAACGAAGTCGGAGAAGCGCAGGGGGAGGTTTCTGCAGAGATGGGTCGTAGCGCTGCTGCTGTCAATCTGGCAATGGTTGCTGCAGCTGTCATTGATTTGGTGAGGGTCTCACAGCTCCGACCATCTCGATACTTTTCATTAGCACATAGATGACATGAGATGTCTCATGTTGTTTCATGATGGCTGCCTGCTGTAATAAGCTAAGAACATAGCAATCGCACTGCAGGTGTTTCTGTCCATCTGTGCTTTTGTATCACTTCCTTCAGTGAAGTACTGCTAGGACTTTAGTTCTGTCCGCTTTGGGTGTGGACATCGCAACTTCTTTCTGAGAAAGGCAACGCCGCAGTGCTGGCATAAGGGAGAGGCGAGTGAAAAGCCGGGTCCTCTGCGTCTGGAATGCAAGAGCGATCACTTCTAGGTTTGAGAGAACGCTTCGATCGTGCTTTGGAGAGGACTTGCCTCCGATAACCTCTACTCGCTGCGCAGGCGCCACAGGGTCAAAGTGAAACAAACTGTGAGCACTCGATTGCCCAGCGGCTGAGCAAAGAGATTCAAAAATGGCCCTGTGCACTGATAGGGCTACCATCTTCGCCTGGATAGAACGCGGTGCCCCGTCATTAGAGACGTATTTGGGGTAACTTTCAGTCAGATGCAGCGATAATGACCAGACGTTATAACCTGGTGAAGGTGGTAGTCACCGTTGTACAACCCCTAGGAGTCCACAAACCAGTGTACATTTATGGACTGGTTATGTGCTTATAATCTGCAAAAGAGCACGCAAAGTGCCTGTCGTCCTCTTTACAGTATATACATGTATTTGTGTTAAACACTCGAGGTTCATCTGCTGCTTGGCGACTCGACCGCGACAGATGCTCTCTGTTCGGGCATTCTCGAAGGGATACCATGACCACAGGAGCTGTAGGATGATTGGAATCTCGAGAGGGCCGAATGCTGCCGCTGAAAAGCGGAGCCTGCTCTGCATGCTGGTGGAGCCGGGAGGCTGTTGGTAGTACCGACTTCCAAGAGCACACGGTGACAAAGTCTGGGACCAGGGCCACATGGGCATGGCAGCCACCTCCCATCCCAGCAGATCCATGGAGATTGCAACCAGGGAGGCAGAGCCCATGAAGATTTGGACTCTGGACACTGAGGCTGTCAAGATTGGGACTCAGAACTCAACTCTACACAGCCCCAGCCTTGCTGTCTGAAACTTGTCGCCACAAGAAAACGAGGCGGAAACGCCAAACGCTGCGCCCGCCATTGATAAATTGGATCAGTGGTCGCGTTTTCGTTTCGTGCTTCCAGAATTATAGGTGTCAGGGCCGTGGCCCAGGTGCCCATGTACTGGTGCTTTAAGATTGGGCCTGGGCACGGGAGCCTGAGCAAGAAAGGTGGGGATTGCTGGGGATGCACCCAAGCAAACGAGGCAGGGCCTACAACAAAGGTTTGTTCGCAGCCGCGAGGGCCAGCAGATTTGGCTCCTTCGCCAGATCCTTGTCATCCGCTGCTAAGGCTCAGTGGATAATCTCAGTTAGCATCGTTGACGGCGGTTTGTTTTTCCATACTGATCGATCGTCCCGGTATGGTCGATCACCAATCAGCGTGCGCACTGGCAATGTGCGAATCCACTGCAGTCGGCAACCAACCTGCCAAGACTCGAGTATTGCTAGGGCCTTGACTTGTCCCACCTCAAGCTGTCAACGGAGCGGCACAATTGACTGCTAACATGCCGCATTGCGGCTGTCAATGCACTGCTGGCAAATACCAAGTCGCTGAGGCTTGGGTGTCGCCAGAGACCTCGTGTACTGACTGCACCTCAGTGATTCGTGACGCAAAGATGTTCATCAGAAAGTGTTTGTGGGGCGCTAATGCTCTGCAGTCTGCTGTCAATACCAAGCTGTTAAGATCTGGGTAACATCACAGGTTACTTGTAAGGCGATTCGAGCCTTGCAAGGTGGTGGCATAGTTAAATATTGGTCAGCAAAAGGTGTTTAACGGACATTTATCTTATGTGTTTGTGGGCTGCTGATACACCACGCTGCAGAACCTTGTTTTGCCTCCTCATGGCTTTTGCATTATGCAGCTCAAGCTCTGGCAGTGTGATGAATCATCGTTCAAGTAGTACACGTCACGTGTCGACTGGGATCATGACCTATTCTGATGGTTGTGTGGCATAGCAGGCAGAGAGATCACTCCTGGTGGCTGTATTTCTTTGATGAAGCTTTTGTGGAATGCCAAAGCCTATGTTTGTCGGTGATGGGGTATGGTGAGGTGGATGCTGCCAGTGTCATCCATCGTCAGGGAGCCAAGTCAGGGCTGCTAACTCACTGTGGAAGCATGCACTGCTGACGTAAGTGTGAAGTCGCCACGGAAAGGTGACATCCTACTAGCTGGCCAGCTGGAGAAGGTGGTCATTCTTGGCTCAAGCGGTCGAGTTCCCAAAGTCGAATGCCTGTGCAGCAATAGAAGACCCTCTGGTTGGGACTGGATCTCCGGAGTTTAAAGCTTGAACCAGAGGGTGAAGAACGAAAACTACGGTCTTCCCCGGAGCAAAATCCACCCTTGTTATGGCTGTACAGGACCGGAAAGATAGCTTGTCTACATTCATTATCAGGGTTCTCCATGTTCGAGCGAAGACGGTGGTTTTAGGAAATGACGACACGGATGCCTGCGTAAAAGGGAAGGATTGTATACAGGTGTGTGTGCACAAGGCTGGTGGCCTTTCACAGTCTTCAGCAAGTCAGTCACCTGGACTTGACGCTTATGATGGATTGAAATCCTGCAAGAGGCACATGTGAAAATGCACACACCAGGAAACTCTTCGTTTCCGTGTGTAAGGGAGGCTGCCTAATTTCTCCCCACTTTGTACTAAGTCATTTTTTGGGATGGTTTTGCCACATGTATATATGCCGCCGCTGAGTCCTATTCCGTCACACGAACCAGGGAGCGGGGCACAGGTGAGCACGCCCGTATTGAACTATTCTGTGCGCGAGGCAGGCACCATTGGTCTCTCTCGGGATGCTGAATGCTCACTCAGATGTTGGTCATCCATTAGTGAGTTTTGTTTGTGCGACAGCCATCATCTCAGCACATAACCCCTGCACTGCCTGTTTCACCTATAAGCAATGGAGGTGGTCACACAGCAGTGGGAGGGGTGGCATCTTGCCATGTAAGGGTAGAGAACGTATTTGTAGCATCATGGTTCAGTGGTGAGGCTGACGTTTTGTCGAGACCACAGCCATCTGCGGCGCATGTTTGTTGAAACATTGTCTGCGGCGCATGTTTGTTGAAACATTGTCACACAGCGGTGGGAGGGGTGGCATCTTGCCATGCAAGAGTAGAGAATGTACTTGTAGCATCATGGTTCAGCGACGTGGCTGACTTTGTCGAGACCACAGCCATCTGCGGTGCATGTTTGTTGAAATATTTTCAACATAGCCCTCCAGCAAACTTCCTCTGTTTGTTTGTTTATTTGTTTGGAATATTCAGCAGTGCTCACTTCCTGGGGAAACCAGAAACAGGCTGCTGCATCTGTGCTGCAGCCATATGGCATGTTGTTTTGAAAAATGCGTGCCACCTTTCGTTGTCTATGGATCCGCATTGGTCAGGAAGAAATGAAGCATGCCACATGCACAGCAATCATGGTGTAGCCCTGTAAGCCTTTAATAAATGGGTGTGGATCTGCCTACGATGACTCTGCTGCGCAAAAGCTGCAGAACTGGCTGCCATGATGTTAAGCTCCTGACATTGACCGGGTGAGATTCCCAATGGCACTCATGCACCGCCGTGGTTCCTTCTTGTTGCTGGGTGACTACGACGGTTTAAACTGCCGGTACATGGTCCCAGGCAACTTCAATACTTTTCAGGGCTCACCCCTAAAATTTTGAAGGCTCAGGGCTATTGGACCGGACCACAATGGCTGGCGGCGCCATCAAAAAGGAAAAGAACTGTGCCACTGGCATTTCGGCAATGCTCGGCCTGCAGTGCAGTTTCGGAGTTTGAGCGCCCACTTCGTTCGCTGCAAGCCCGCACCGTACCGCACGAGTGCAAGGCTCAGGTGTACTGGTGATTTAACCTCTCTGTTTCTGTCCAGAGACCGGCGTCCATGAATAAGCTGCGGCGGCAGTTCACGCGAGAGTGCAGATGACCTTTGTAGCCATCTCGGAAAGGAGTTCCGTGCAAATTCTAAATATGCCTGCGTTGTAGGAAACCGATGTGGCAAGCCATTGTGCTTCGTAGTGCAAATTGTAAATATGCCTTTGTTTGAGACCGCCGTGACAAGCGATTGTGCTTTGCTGCTGTACAAGACATGGTAGAGGGTGCCACCTTTGTTCAGAGATTCATGCCCGGCGAACATCTTGACTGCACAGGTCTCGTCTTGAAATGAGACTTGAACCACCAGTACATGGCCCTTCCAAGTGCCTCTCTGAAAATTTCGGAGGCTCGCACGCCATTGATAAAATACATCGACGATGGCCGGCCTCCGAAAGGGGCCCGTGGCCGATGGCTGGCATGTACCGGCCCTTTAAGATGCGACTCCAGAGGGGAAGACTCAAGGATGAGTGCAAGATGAGAGTCAGCAACATGTACCCAAGAACCGACCTCCAGATGGTGGACTCAAGGCCAGGTGACTGAAGGTGGGCCATAGGGGGTAGGGAGTCGAGGACGGACTCAAGAACAGGTTAAGGACGGAGGTAGGGTGCTCGGGATAGACTCAGCATGGACGTCAAGGGCGTTTGCAATTCAAGACGGAACTCGGAACTCAAGACGGAACTCAAGTGTGGAGTGGGGATCAAGATTACGGGCAACAGAGGTAATATATGGGACACTGAGGATCGACTCGAGATGGGATCCAAGATGGGACTTGAGGACGGACACAAGATGAGATTTAGGATGATGCAAGTAAGTTGGGACTCCCAAGGATAGAGGACAGATGCAGCTATTATTTATGAACAAAAGGCTATGGTTACATGTCAGAATCAAGATGGAATGCACGGCCAAGGTCGAGGTTACGTAACAGAGAGTCAAGTAGGTCGTTGTGTCCACAAGGCTGCACTTAGGCAGCAGGGATTTGAGGAGGATGCTTCCATAATTGGATGTGAGTCTGCAGTGGAGGACTGATTGAAAATTGGATGTAAGCATTGAGGACAGGTTCACGATTGTTCGGTAGAAGATGACACTGCTGAATAGAACATTGGACCTTGCAAATAATAGGCAGTTGATGGTGGAACTTGTGCAAAATGGGACTCGACGGGACTAGAATTAGGGTTTGGTGTCGGCAGGTGTTGGCAAGGTTGGAGAAACTGCCGACTTTATGTGTTTTGTTGTTAATATATTTGTTTGCTGTGAAAGAGTTCTTTATTTAGAGAAGAACGCTCCACCTGCTAGGGAGTGGTGGGCATACTGTGATATGATGCCTGCTGCTACCGATGGCTGGGTGGGTGTTGGGCATTTCACGGCTCGGAAGAAGATCATCAGCCGACGAGTTGCGCGTTGTAGCGAACGGCGTTGAGAGACAATTAGCGCGCGGTAGGTGCATAGCAAACAGCGACTAATAGTCTGCCCCTTGAGGGTGTAACAGGGTACCTTCTTTTGCCGGATTTTCTTCTACAAGACGGCAATGGCGTGCGTGCGTGTGGCCAAGGGTACGCGAACACAAATCCAGAAAAAATGCTGTTGTTCGTAGCAGGGTGTTCTCTCTTCCACCGAAATGGGTAACGGAAGTCGACACTGTGTACAGCGCAACCCAACCAGGCCGAACAGCAAGTTTTCCGAGTCAACCCGAAGATGTACAGCAATCCAAACATTATCCAACAGCAAGTTTTCCAAGATCGAGAGCCTACTGACCGTGAAGAAGGCGACGAGGGAGCAGCAAGAGTAAGGTGGAGAAAAGGAACCTTTTTTTTATAGGAGAGAAAGAACCTTACAGGAGAGGATGGTGAGTTGTTAGGAGGGCACACCAACTTGAGAATTTTTTTTATTTTTTATTTTTTTCCGCTTAGACTTGAAGGTGGATAGTATTCATTTCCTGCTGAGGCTTGTTCGGTCGTGGGCCCATCTTCTTTTGGGCCCATCTTTGTTATATCAGCATGCATCTTTATAGCATACATAATTTACTTTTGTTCTATACCCCAGCTAGTCTCACCCGATCGATTGAGTCATATCTATTGTTTTTTGTTCCCATTTCTTGCTCTTCTGCTGCCTCGTTTTGCCCAGTCTATTAAGCTCCCTCGGATTCACACTGGCGTGTGGTCGGCTTTGCCCACTCCACTGCTACTGTAGTTCTAGCCCGTGCACTCCTTAGCCCTAACTAACAGCTGCATGATAGTCTTCCTCACCATCCAGTTCTATACTATCCAGTTCTATACGAACTCTTTCTGCTCTCCACTCCTTAGCCCTATCCACTCCTTAGCCCTATCTATTGTCAAGGCTAACGCTTTCTGGTCTTATCCACTTTTCCATCTCATTCGCTCTATGTTACTTTCTACTCTGCAATCTTCTTCCATAATCTTAAACTCCCGGCCCGGTTGCCTTTCCGAATAAAATGACTTCTCTTTGTGAGCATGATAAGGTTGCTTCTAGATTGCTAATTGTGGTTTTGCTTTATGCTACTACTTTCTACTCTCCAGTCCTCTTCTATATTATCTATGACCTTCTTAAAGCACTAGTATATGCCAGCTATCGCCCGCAGGTCCCTTTCGGAGGCCGCCCGCCGCCGATTCATTTTATCTTACGGCACTCGGCCTCCTAAGCTTTTGGAGAGGCTCAAAACAGGTTCACCAGTTACACACTTGCAAGGTGCCGCGCTATAAAAAAATGAAAAAAAATTCAAAAAATGCTTTGAAGGAATTGTTACAAACGATATTCCAGACTGCTTGGTGATAAAAAAATGAATGCAAATCAGGATTCCATGGCCATACTTGAAGAAGCTAGTCAATTACATATACCGATTGTGTGTTTGATTGATAGATTCAGATATTCCAAGCAATAACAACAAAGAATTTATTATCCCATCCCTGTGAATGATGATTCTTTAGAGTTTATATATCTTATCTTGTTTGTCATTTCATGACTCAAATAGTCAAGTCAATTACTCTCGTCTATCGTATAACGAGACTTTTCTATGGTCAATGTAGTGAACTTTGTGGGACCAATCATGCCTTTATGCCTTTATGCCTTTATGCCTTCCACTACAATAGGCATAAAGGCATGATTGGTCCCACAAAGTTCACTACGTTGACCATAGAAAAAGTCTCATTATACGATATACGAGAGTAGTTGACGATTTGAGTAATTCTTTCAACGATTATGTTTCTTCGGTGTCTAATAAATTAGACTAAAAAACAAAGGAGCGAAGCAACGAGTATCGAGTTCTCGAAAAAAACATCCTTATCATTTAGTTGATCCAAGTCCATGGCCTATTTTGGCTCACTGGGAGATTTGGCAATTACCATTGGTGGTTTTATGCACATGCATTCCTTCCTATACAGGAGGTACGCTGTGCCTTAGTTTAGGCTGTGAGCACTGTGTGCCCTCTACGGTCTCAGTGAGCAATAGAACAAAAAATCATCTGCTGTCGCAAAATTTCTGTTCTGCCGAACGAAGGCCTTGCGAAGGCCTTGCATTCGCATTTGTTTGCTTCTTGGAGATCGGCCAGCTCTGCGCCTCTTTCTTATTTACAAACGGCCCAGTCGGTCTCATATCCGATCTTGGATTCATCTAGTCAGTCCGTGAAGAGTGATGTTGCAGGCTTGCATGTGTTCCTTGACCGAGATACGAACACGGTCCGGTCCGACCAATCGAGTATTAGATTGGAATCTAGATCGTGTTGATTGTTCGCGACCTCACTCTGGGGGCATCTACTGGTGGTTTAAACTCCCTCCCCGGTTGTCTTCCGAATGAAATGACTTGTCTTTGTGAGCATGCTTCTACCTTCTTAAACTCCCGTCCCGGCTGCCTGCTGAATGAACTGACTGTTTCCCTTCCATTGTCATGTGCTTCTATTCCTTCTAGATTGCTAATTGTGGTTTTGCGTTGTTGAGAGTTGAAATGTGAACAATTTTTCTAAATGTGTGTGCTTCTGTAGAGTCTGTACTCTAGGTACAGTTCTGCAAAAACATTTCACACTTTTATTGAAAATGTGTTCGATTGTGAGCAGAACCCTACCCTACGGTCCCTACCCCTTATGGCGCATTGGTTGCGCAGGACGGGAACTTGGCAAACTGTGCGCTGATGTCCAGTCTAACTTTTTCTCCAAGCCGTCAGTTGGCGAGGATCCCCGGTCGTGCGCATGTAGAGAGTGGTTTTCTACCAAACTGTTTGCAATGTGCCGACAAACAATGGCATGCAGTTTACTGGAGATCAGTAAGTGTATGCAGTGGTCTGTATGGGCGACGACTCCGTGTACGTTGGTATTCGGGCTGGAGAGTTTTCTGGTTGCGTCGTCGTGGTTGTAGGCTGGTATAGGTACGGAGCAGTAGTCGGCTGGCCACTGAGCGCCAATTGAGAAGAGCGACGTTGGATACATTGTTGACGGTGTCGAGTTGGGGCTGACATCGACATTTACGTTCATTGCATTGCTCTTACTTGGCTTGTATCTCGGTGTAGACTACATTCTGCTTGGTACACGACTGACTATCTGCTCTTCAGTGTGATTCTGCCCTTTTATTTATTTTTTTTTTCCCTGTCTGTCACTCTCGCTTATTTTCCTTGCACATGCGGATTTTTCCAACATTTGGAATGCATCGGGACAATTAATTACATGATCCAGATACGTTTAGAATGTTGTGGAGTAGAGTCAGGCCCCTTCACTTGAAATCAAGGCTGGGCCAGCAACCGGCCGGATCACCTGCCCTGGGCCGGACCGGTCCAGGTCCAGGGGGGGTGAACCGGCAAAACCGGATGCCCCTAAAAAATGCCCAGAATGTTTTTTTTTTCTTTTCTTCTGATTGCGGCATCCAACTGCGCTCGCTGAGATCTGTCAGATTCCGCATTAAAACTTGCAAAGTCAGGATGTTTTTTTTGGTTGTGGGACATAGGGGGGCGGTTAGGTAGGCGGGGGGGGGTATGGCTCTGACAGGGAGGGAAGCAGAGGAGGAGGAGGAGGAGGAGGAGAGGAGGAGGAAACAGAGAAGAAGAAGAAGAAGAAGAAGAAGAATCTGACACTGAAGATGAAAAAAAGGAAAAAATCCCTATGGCTATGGCTCTGCCTCAACGCGGAGGGAAGTAGAGGAGGAGGACAGGAGGAAGAAGAAGAAGAAGAAGAAGAAGAAGAAGAATCTGACACTGAAGATGAAAAAAAGGAAAAAATCCCTATGGCTATGGCTCTGCCTCAACGCGGAGGGAAGTAGAGGAGGAGGACAGGAGGAAGAAGAAGAAGAAGAAGGAGAAAGAAGAAGAAGAAAGAAGAAGAAGAAGAACGAGGAGGAGGAGGAGGTCAAGAAGAAGAAGAAGAAGAAGAAGAAGGAGGAGGAGGAGGAGGAGGTCAAGAAGAAGAAGAAGAAGAAGAAGAAGAAGAATCTGATGAAAGATGAAAAAACAAAAACAAATCGCTATGGCTATGGCTCAGGCTCAATGGGGAGCGAAGCGGAGGAGGGGGAGGAGGAGGATGACGACGAGGAGGAGGAGAAGGAGAAGAAGAAGAGGACGAGGAGAACAAGAAGAAGAGGAGGAGAGAAAAAATGATGAAGAAGAGGACGAGGAGAACAAGAAGAAGAGGAGGAGGGAAAAAAATGATGAGGACGAGCACGAGGACGAGATGAGGAGGAGGAGGAGGAGGAGGAGGAGGAGGAGGAGAAGAAGAAGAAGAAGAAGAAGAAGAAGAAGAAGAAGAAGAGGAAAAAAAGAAGAAGAAGAAGAAGATGAAGAAAAGGAGGAGGAGAGAAGAAGAAGAAGCAGAAGAAGTGGAGGACGAGGAGAGGGCGGCGTAAAAGAAAACCATGAAGAAGAGGACGAGAGAAGGAGAAGAAGAAGAAGAAAAGAAAAAAGAAAAAAAAAAGGAACTAAACTGCCAGACCTACCTTTGTGGCTATGGGGGGCGGTTGCAATGAAGCGGGCTGCAGGGCTATGTCGATGGCGGGCTGGAGACGCGGCGCTGACGCTGGTTGTGCTGTCGCAGCACATGACATCGAAGTGGATGCTGAATGGCGTGACGTCAATGTCGCGTGCTGCTGCACAGAACTGGGGCAGACGGGGCGAAGGCAGGCCACGAGGAGATCTAAAAACGCGGCCGATTTCGGGTGCAGATCCAAAGATCTGCGGTCGAAATCGACCCCGTTTTCAAATTCGAAAACGGGGGCCTACCGTACCCCGTTCTCTTCAGAAAACGTGCGGCTGATCTCCACTGTGGATCTGCACCAATCGGCGGCAGAGATTGGCCGTTAGTTTTCTTAAGAAAACGGGGTCTGGTAGGCCCCAGTTTTCTTCCAAAGTGGTGGTGGCGGTCTCCCAGAGGCTGGGCGGGAATGGAGACGCCCGAAAATCCCCAGTACCCCCCCCCCAAACGCAGTGTGCCTGATTGAACCGGGGGCCTGCGGGGCTGGTGAACCACGCGATCCGACCTGAAGGCACCCGGTCGGTCGAAGGTCCCCCGGTCCATCCGGGGACCAGCACTGCTTGGAACTCGTTTGTTTGTTTTTTTCCCACGTCGTCATCTAGCGGCCGTGGGTGTCTCTCCACTGCAGTACCTTTCAAATGTTTCTGGGTCTGTTCTTGGGCCCAGATGTACGGACCTATACTTACTCTGGAGGCGCCCGGGAACCTGCGGGCAAGCAAAGACCTGCCTGTGTGAGCGGGCTAGGTACCAGTGGGGGGTTACGTGCTGACTGGAGCGAAGTGTGTGAGAATTGCCGTGTCTGTGTGATGCGTCCATGTGGTGTTGTGTGTGGTGTGTGTCGAGTTGGACACTACAGCCTTGCAGGGGTGGGGTGGATATCATGACCTGTATGGCTCGACTTTTGAACACCGTGTCCTGGCTGTAGTGGTTAAGAGACTTGGCTCTTGAAGCCGAGGTCTCACTGGTTCGAATCTGTGCTTGCACAGAGGAGGGCCTTTGGCCCAGATGTACGGACGTATACTTACTGTTAACGGTCTCAAATTCAATACATTGACAATGATGTCAGGCCGA